CGAAATATTCGCAAAAAAAACAGAGAAATTTTCGCACTACGTTCAGTTTTGTACCCGTTACTTGGAAACTATGAATTGTTTGATAAAACCGTTCCAAAAAAAGTTGAAGTGAATGAAAATTTATATAAATAATTCTTTCTGTTCATGAATGAAGGTCTAACGGGTGAGGTGCTAGAGCAAGTTGAATATTGACCAAATTCACTCATCTTGCAGAGAAGTAGTGTTCTTCGTCATTTGTAGTTCCACGCATTCCTAGAAAAAACAAACTACATTGTCTGATATGGAGAAAATTTTGCTATGTGACTAATTGCTCTCGTCAGCGTGTTACTCGTTTTTTGATTTGTAACAGCAGTTTAGGTATATTTACATCAACTAGGTTCAATAATATTCTTCACACTTGCTTCTTGATATACCTGAGCTGAGCAAAAAGAAGGTTTTTTTCATATACCGTCAGATAGAGATGAGAGTACCCTGGAGCGAACACAATCTGCTCCACCTGCACCATTACCACCTCCAGAACTGGATCTTTCATGGTATCAGTCTCCTACTGTAAGGATTTCCCCATCTTATGGTCATCTATATATCCCCAGACATCTGATGAAAGCTAGGAAACTCTTGACCATCAAGTTTTCCCCCTCAGCAAGCGTCAGGTTGACCAGTTCTAGGTGAGTCAGCCATAGGCGAACTAGTTCTTTACATACATTGTTTTTGCTCGTAAATGTTATACTAGTGAGTGAGGAGCTAGAGCAAGTTAATAAATTTACCAAATAGCGCTCTTGGTCGGCTATTCGTTAATAATTCATAATCTACCATAACTTGAGAAGACAACACATCATACACTGATTAAAAAACATTGAGTTTTCTATAAAGCTCATGTCGAGTTCGTGAATAGACGAGAAAATCGTATATTCGATTGCTCGGACGTAGAGACGTATGCTGGTAGTAATCGTCACAGACAAGTTCATCTTTTCCACTCCTTCCAATTCACCATTCACCTTTATTTTTGGAAGCTGTGAAACATATGAATGGATCATAGTTTTGTTCTCGTATTATAAGTAGTGGGGGGAACATGGAAAGTTGATTTTTCTATACGCTATAATTATACTTGTTATAATTACGTTGAAATAATTCTGATTGATATAGGTATTGTTCATAGATACTGATGAAACATTGATAATAACTTTTCAAACTATTGGAACTTTTCGTTTATGTGCATGGATTCCAGGGCACGAGGCAGCTGATCGCCGAGCGAAAAAAGGTGCATAGTCTGTATCCTTCGATCCTCAGACTTACTGTGGGACAAGCTTCTACTGCTGAAAAATTCTAGGTCAATGAGAACAAGGTCATCAACAATTATTGAGTCTTGGCAAACTAGAGGTGAGGCACTGTCCTCTCTGGTATCACTCAAAAAAATAGGCCTAGTGTTGACTCAAACTTGCCGGAATACATACTTTGTTCATGCATGCGACGTTCTAGATCGCTAAAGGCTGAATCAACTAACATAGATCTATACCTGATGCCTACTGAGGTGCAGAATTCAACCATCAAGAGAATTATAGGTTTCATCAGATGTCTGAGGATGAAGATGACCATAAGATGAGGTTAATTTCTACAATCTTTGATCTATTCGTCGCTATATCGTCGTTTGGATTCGATTCTGGAGGTGATGATGATGCAGGTGGAGCAGACGAAGTTCGCCTCAGGTTACTGTCATCCACAGTCTGGTGGTATATGAGAGAAATCTATACTAAAGAACTGAGAAAAATCATGAATCGAGTTTCACGCTTCCAAAATCGATAACTCTCATGGCCAGGACATAAGGCAGTGTAGTTTGTTTCTTCTATAAATACGAACCCCCAGATACGAATTTTGAATAGAATCGGATCATAATTTCAAAACTCGTTCGCCATATTGGAGCTGACATCACGAGTTTCTCAATTTTGATGAAAGAATCATAATCTTCGACCCCGAAAGCACCCAGATACTAATTTTTAGTAGAATTGGATCATAATTACAAAACTCGTCCGCCATATTGAAGCCGTCATTTTGAATTAATTGAATTTTGATGAGAGAATAATAATCTTCAACCTTGAAAACTCCCAGATACCAATTTTGAATAGAATCGGATCATAATTACGAAATTTGTCCGCCATATTGGAACCGCCATTTTGAATTTTCCAACTCCGATGAGAGAATCATAATCTTCGACCCCGAAAACCTCCAGATACCAATTTTGAATAGAATCAGATCATAATAACAAAACTCGTCCGTCATATTGGAGCCGCCATTCTGAATTCTCTGATTTTGATGAACGAATCATAATCTTCGACCTCGAGAACCTCCAGATACGAATTTTGAATAGAATCGGATCATAATTACAGAACTCGTTCGCCATATTGGAGCCGCCATTACGAATTTTCCAATTTTGATGAAAGAATCAAAATCTTCGACCCCGAAAACCCCCAGATACCAATTTTCAGCAGAATCGGACCATAAATACAAAACTCGTCAACCATATTGGAGCCACCATTTTGAATTTTTGAATTGTGATGAGAGAATTATAATCTTCGGCCTTAAAAACCCCCAGATATCAATTTTGAATAGAATCGGATCATAATTACAAAATTCGTCCGCCATATTGGAACCGCCATTTTGTATTTTCCAACTTTGATGGAAGAATCATAATCTTCGACCCCGAAAGCACCCAGATACTAATTTTTAGTAGAATTGGATCATAATTACAAAACTCGTCCGCCATATTGGAGCCGTCATTTTGAATTGATTGAATTTTGATGAGAGAATGATAATCTTTAACCTTGAAAACTCCCAGATACCAATTTTGAATAGAATCGCATCATAATTACTAAATTCGTCCGCCACATTGGAACCGCCATTTTGAATTTTCCAACTTCGATGAGAGAATCATAATCTTCGACCCCGAAAACCTTCAGATACCAATTTTGAATAGAATCAGATCATAATAACAAAACTCGTCCGTCATATTGGAGCCGTCATTCTGAATTCTCTGATTTTGATGAACGAATCATAATCTTCGACCTCGAGAACCTCCAGATACGAATTTTGAATAGAATCGGATCATAATTACAGAACTCGTTCGCCATATTGGAGCCGCTATTACGAATTTTCCAATTTTGATGAAAGAATCAAAATCTTCGACCCCGAAAACCCCTAGATACCAATTTTCAGCAGAATCGGATCATAAATACAAAACTCGTCAACCATATTGGAGCCACCATTTTGAATTTTTGAATTGTGATGAGAGAATTATAATCTTCGGCCTTAAAAACCCCCAGATACCAATTTTGAATAGAATCGGATCATAATTACAAAATTCGTCCGCCATATTGGAACCGCCATTTTGTATTTCCCAACTTTGATGAAAGAATCATAATCTTCGACCCCGAAAACCCCTAGATACCAATTTTCAATAGAATCGGATCATAATTACAAAACTCATTTTCGTTTTCATTATTTCATGATGTGAGAAAGTAAACTATTATATTAACGGTCCTCAGCATTTTCGGAATCCAAATCACATTCCAAAATGATAAAACGTGAATTCTGAATTATACATACAAATCTGAACTCGCAGTAATAATCTACCTCCGAACAATGTTGCCATATGTTGGGTGTCTATTGACATCAAACCATGTGGAGTCTCATTCGGCTGGAGCATTTATTCAAAGTGTATATGTGTATTAAACGGTGGCGCCTCTAGTGTACCTACAGTGAACTACATCGTGTAACTGTATGTGTGTGACTGACGAAATGGCCTCTGATCGAAAGTTCGTTTTTATGGCTTCCAGTAGGTAACCATGCGAATGAATCAGATATACACAGGTGTTCGATTTGGCCTCCGATTTTTCGAAGTCGCCTCCGATTTTTGAGGCGTGTTCGTCCACAGAGTATAATATTTGGAGGTGTATAAGACGTTTTGCATATATATATATATATATACTTATACATTACTGGAAGCCCAATACATTTGTTGTTTTTTCATTTCCTGAAGTTTTTTCGAAAATTTGAGCATTTGCCATGTGTATTTAAAAAAAAATTGTATTCAAAATAGTAGTAAGAAAAATTATCTTATTTCATCCCCTTTTGAGCATACTCCGGGGTTGAAAACATTCTAAAATGTGTAGTTGTATTGTCAAATAATATTCACCAAGTTTCTTATTTTCAGTTTAATATACAGGGGAAATAAAAGAGAAAACTTTTTTTTTAACTTTCAGGATGGTGTAACATTTCCAGGAAGAGGTTTTTCAAAAAATTCTGATTTCTTGAAGGCTTTACGTGATTTCTGGGCTTTGTTGATTTTTTGAAAATAGGAATAATAAAGATTTTGCATTACGTGAAATAATTAATATTCCTGTGATTTGAGAATTTGTGATTGTTTCGGGCCAGAATCAGTTAGTAGTTAGTGTGAAGTCATATAATATTATAATCGTTTGATATTTGAAAAATGACTCGAGTCACACTGGACTTATTAATTAACCTATATCTGTGCTATAAATCGTTCGAAATATTAATAAATAAATTCATTTCTTTGGGAATAGGCGAATTTGGAGACAAATCCCGAAAGAGGTTGGTATTTATTTTCAACTTACCACATTTTGAAGAAAGATATATACAGGCTGATCCACGTTTTTCGTTTCCCAGAAGTCAAGGGGAAGCCAATTGCATCCATTGCGTCTGGTACTTTGAAAGAACCAACGATTTATTCTCATATCTTCGTAGTCCTTTGACGTATCTCCATCAAACCCTATATATGGTTAAATTTTCATTGAAAATATCGAACTTGATGTGAGTTTCAGAATATCGAAAAATGTGTGAGCATGGCATTACATTTTCGAATCAATAATAATATGAATCATTCAAAAAAAGAAATCTGATGATCAATGTTTCCTAGATATATTTGATCGTTCCAGAATTTTTACCCAAACCTCTATATACAATAATAATTATCAACTTTGTTCCAGGTTGAAACTAGAATGCGAGAAATTAGCTAGCGAAAAGACTGAAATGCAACGGCACTACGTCATGGTAAGTCGATTGAAAAAATTACGATTTAATTTCTTTAATGATATTACTACAGCAATTACTCAAGTCTCTAACAATGGTGGTATTTAGATAAATACCTGTACAGTATTTCTTTCATTGCATTGTTATTTGATGATGGGAGAATTTCAACGGTTGTATACTCATACAACAAGCGCCTTCTATTATTGTATTATTTCTTCCAACTGCTTCTTTTCATTGTAGACGGTCATTAATGGAGCTCTTTATTTCTTTCTATATATTTTCGAGTATTTCATCTTCTGAAAATATTCGGACCCAAAAATACGAAAAATGTAATTTTGGGCTTGGTTCGAAAATTGAATAGTTATACTTACTACCCTGTATATTTTTGAGGAAATGGCTACCTACCTAGTACCTATTAGTAAGTAGTATTATTTTTAAAGATATCTTCATTTTGGGAAAAACTAGTATATCTAAGTAAATCGAAATCAATAGGCATTCAGGAAAGAATCACTTGTATCAGAATTCGTTTATACGAGTCGATGCATAGATTTCGGGTGGATGTAATAATTCAATATTCTGCGTGGCATTACCCAGGAAATAAGTTCTTTTTCTACCGAAATCTATCATTGTTGTTCATTTTATGAACATTGTGTGGAAATGACTTTGAGCTTTTTGTATTCATTTAACATTCCATTCCACTTTGGGCATTGTGGCATTTTCGTAGTTGAAATTACGCCAGTCGGGCAACCAGTCACTCCCGTAGGGGAATGTCAGTTTTGGAGTGTTTCTTTCCTTCTATTCTACTCAGATGGCGTTGCTTTCATATTGTCTATGAATGACGCCTCTGGGGAAATATAATGCCGACTTGATTTTTGTTTGGCTAGGCTACGCTTAGTCGGCGGTATTAGAACTGCTGACTGGAAACTGCCCTGCACTGATGAGAGACATTGTTTTTCATTTTATGAACATTGTGTGGAAATGACTTTGAGCTTTTTGTATTTATTTATTAATAATTAGTTTATCGGAAATCAAACTGACCTCAGTTGAAAGAACACGGAATGCAACCGTTATAAAATCTTCTATTCAGTCGCACACTTGTTCAATAAATTTTAACAGGAACTGAACATCAAACATCGAACGTAACGCGAATCTTATCTGTAGCATCCGTAACCAATTAAAATCACGCGATTTTTCAACAACAGAAAAGTGACAATTAGCACTTCGTTATCCGAGTTTACGTGCCGATCTGTATCTGTGTAGCTATCACGTTTGAAATTTCTATAGCTGCATTGCTAGATTAGTTTTTTCAACTTGGGTTTTCATCATTTTTTGTTTTATTACGATATTCATTAGTAGGAATTCCATTAACTCAGCTGACAAAGCTAAAAAATTTACCTCTGCATGCAGCACGGAGAAAAAATTTCATTGATCACAAATCAAAAATCACTTCTCCCAAGCGAAAACCTCAACAAAATAGGGGACGAGTGAACTATGCATTTGAAGCAAATAACTCGAAACTTTTGCCGAGGTAATAACTTTGATACTTACAACCAATAGTTCAAATATTCAACGTAAATTACCAATGATTTGAGATTATTTTATAGCAATAACTCTGTTCAACTAGGACGAAATGTTTACTTATTTATAACTCATAACATATATGATGAACACAAATGGTCGCGTTTTTATATCAAGTGATTGGCATTTGCTTCAAGTGACCATAATGTATAATCTCAAATCATCTCTCTATTAGCTCCCAGCATTACCTTCATTGCCCATTGATTTATGTTTCATTCATGATGTATTAGCACATTATTTGAGACAAATCAGTTTTCTGTTGGAAGCAAATCGTTTCAATTTTGTTACTACTGGGTGTTTTTATTACTGCAAAGAAAATTGTCTATATCTTTCAAATCATCATTTATTTGCCACAGATATTTTTCGATTTGTTCCCATTGCTTTTCATTCTAAGTATTCAATCGGTTGTGGCCTCATCAAGACAACTTTGTAATTTTTCTAGTATGGCTCTGGTTCCATTTCTGTTTTGATTGCCTTTTCCAACTGCGATTTTTTGAATGAAGGGTAGACAACCATCTGATCGTTGTCATCATTCCATTTGAAAGGTATCGCCTCCATCACTTTGTCTGTCTTCACAAATTCCACTATTACCCATGGCATAGCTGCAACATAAAAAATTATAAGACTTAAATTGTTTTATTGATTGTATGATCTGAATTCACAAACACAATAGCTTGAAATTTCATTTGACTTCTAAGACAAAGAACATACGAATATCAACTATAATAACTATCCTATAAATTATTTACCTAGGATGTACATCCGTACCTTTACCTCACCTAAACCCTATATTTAATTCACATGTTATCATTATTATATTCACACTTACCTAAAAAGTCCTCGTGGAAACTCTCAAGTCCCCATTCAAGCAAAAATTCGTATAGTATTTATAAGTATTATCCTGATCTCCTATATTTTATGGTCAGAATGAAAGCCGGTCACAGTAACTAAAAACAAATCTCATCTCCGAGCCGACATCCGACATCGACCCCACCACACCGCCCATCGGTGAACATTATTGCGATGTTGCCAATAATGGTGGACTTTTTAAATTAAAAAAGAGAATGAGCGAAATAATTATTGAATGTCATCGTGATATTTATGACGAGTTCTTGGTAAGAAGAAACAAAAAATGGCGACTAGGTGAAAATATAAGAACCCTTACATCTGGATATTTCTGATTACTTATAACTAACTAGGTATAGGTACTGTAGGTAGGAAGTATCTAAAATCAATATGAGCTCTTGTAAGAATATAATCATTTTTTGTTTTTCAACAAAAGCCTACGAGTCTGTAGGAGAATCAATAGTCTTTGATCTTGGCGTTATTAGTGTTCATTTCCTCATAATATATCGCCATCTATCAGTATATTATATTATTGTATACCTAATATCTCAGATTGTTTATTCATTTCTATTATTTTCATGTTGAATTATATCTACCTATTATCTGATGTTGTATGTCTGGTATGTACCTATCTGAATTAGATATTCTACTGATAAGGTTAGAAAATGATCAAATACATCTCAAACTTGCGTACCTAATTTGGGGAGTTATATCTAGCAATCGGCAACGATGTCGGCTCTATGAATTTCGGCTGATGGAGGCCAAGTGGTTTTTGATTTGTTGGAAATGAGAATGAACTGGTTATCAATTAGAGATATATTTGCGGAATCGAAAGGACCGCAATTTAATGGCGAATAGGAAAGCATTTTTCTCAAATCAACTGTTATTGACCAACCTATAGTAGTTTTGTTGTGGACAATTAATTTTCATTTTTGCACAATGAAAAATCGTTAATCTCAAACTGGTGCTATTTTGTTAGTTGAAAAGCATCTGATTGGCTGCAAACAGTTTCTATTCTGACGACCAATCATTTTCATTCATAACAAATGCTATTACTATTCACTCCATCAATAACATGATTTGAGACAAAATCGTTGAGAATTCACTACAAATGATGAAAATGATTATTTCAATTGTTTTACCGCAAATCAGTAGACGCTTGTTTCAAATTCAGAAACTTTTATGGTAGGTGAGCGATACCAAATGAATCAATAATTTTGGTCCAGTTATTTTATTTTTCACAGGCAATAATAGTTTCGCTAGTGATCAATACAAATTTCTGAATGAAATAATCATTTGACCCATTTTTCTCAGTGAGGAACGTGCAGGACTACGTTTTTTCTATACTTATTTTTTTATTGTTGTTTTTTGTTTAATGTTGAGATCAACATTTGTCCGTTCTCCACATCGTCTCAATATTCTAAAAATTTCTCAAATCAGGTTGTCCTTTTCATTTTTACTATAATCTTAGAAAGAAAGAAAGAAAGGAAGATAGAAACATCTTTTTTCTCTGACGGGAAGTTTGGCATTTCATCTCTGTTGGCAGGTTATAAAATGTCACTTTTCATAAATTACTTTTTTCCCGGATATATATCACATATATATACACTGTTGATGTCTTTTGTTGTGCTATAGTTCCGAAAAATGAGTCAATAATACCACAGATTAACAAGGTTTGTTAATCTGTGATAATACCGTCTCCGAGAAAGAACTGCAAGTCCTTTTATCTTCCATTCGACTTCGCGGTTACATATACTAAACAACCACTAAATTCGCAATGTTTTGAAATCAAATCACAAAATTAGACTGACAGAAGTGACATCAGATATTTGATTACTTCAAAAGAATGATAAAGATGCCTACAACGCAGGTGTCCCTACTGTTGAAAACTTAAAATTTCACGTCGATAATTTTCAGATTTCATAATAATGTAATATCTTCTCAATATTGATTCGTCCTTTCTTCTGTCACAGAAAAAAATAGTGTATTATACACGGGAAAAATATTAGATTTTAGCTCACGGTTTTTTTGAATTTTCTGAAATAAGGGTACTTGAGCAATTTTTATATTTTCTGACCTACCCTGTATGCTGTGTGACTTGCAACCGTTCTGAGTGCACCTAAAATGATTACCAAACATGCACCAACTTTTGGCACTATCTGTATTTTGGTTGTGCTACGCGTCTTGCATCAAACTTCACATGCGGGAGGAAATGCATACCTTTCCTCCCTTGATATATAAATAGCTATTGCAAATTTGTTTAATAATTGCTATGGTAACGATACAAGATACCGGTTTGTCTTTAATTGGTGTGAAAAGGTGTGAAATTTTCGAGATAATCACCCGTTGCTATAACATGAACAAAAAGGAGCCTTCCAATTGGTTGAAAATAAATTCATGAAATTTTCCACGGAATCGGCTTATCATATTATGCAAATACAAATAACGCGGACGCGGATAACAAATCAGTGCCCGCACGTGCTACCTATTCTGCGCCCTCGCCTGTGTAACACGGAAAAAAGCCCAATCACGCGCGAATTCATTATGCCCTTCGTCCCTAGGCTAGGCGTCATCCGGAACCCCTGTTCGAAAACGTA